TATATTTGTAAAGCTAATTACCATATACAATGTATCATATATGCTAAACGTGACAGGCATATCACTCTTTTTGTGTTTTCAGAATAGATTTGAAATTGTAAGTAATTTATATGATATTAGAGAAAAGTTACAATATAATTCATTTGTATGTATGTAAATATATTTGTAAAGCTAATTACCATATACATATGTATACATTTATGCTAAACGTGACAGGCATATCACTCTTTTTTTTTTGTGTTTCAGAATAGATTGATATTTGCACAAAAACATAACAACACTTTAGGTTTTTTTTATCATATATTTAATATAATATAATATATTATGTTTTGCTATCTCAGCATATCAATGATAATCATGTTCAAAGATATTTGAACATATTGCCGAGGAAATAATTTAGTGGATTGTACTTTCTATTATAATAAGGTATTTCATGGTTTTACTAACACTTAAACTAATAAATATTACTTATGCTGCGACGCGTCGATTAAGTGATGTCCATTGGCACCAACGCTCATGTTCATATTTAAACATACTCCAGGGCGACACAAGTTACTGCAGCTTGTATCGTTCGTGTTCGTCAACTAAGTAACTGGTAGCCGGTGGCTGCATATCCGCCGTTCTGTCATTCAAATCTTGACATCTCACATAACGGTTCACGATGACTATGCGCCTTTCTATTTGTATTAACTATAGTTACTATAACTATTTGTTCAATTCGTCCAAAGGTATCTGTCGGTTTCTTTCTCGCTCATCGAAATGCGGTGTACCTTATTTTACGAATCTTTATTTGTGACTTACCATACTCCTCTTCACTGCTTGGTGCACGTCTCAACCTTTCTTCTTCTTGATCTTTGATTCCGTGTTGCTGCGGCCGTTGATTTCATTACCCGCTACCATCACTTCATTATGCCTCCATCGTCGAGAATTTTAATTTCACATCGTCATTTTGATTATTTTTTCGTCCTCACTTCAAGCGCTTCCAAATGTGAATCTGCTGGAGGAGAAAACACCATTCCTCTCTTGAATCCATTTCTTTGCGTCTTTGAGGAAGTAGTAAAATTTTCTTTTGTGTTCTACTTCAAGATACTCTGTGTACCTTCATTCGGTCTCTTTTATACCCTGAACAGGTATATTAAGTTTGCCACGAAGTTGTACACACAGAAGGAAACGTCGAAGACCCTATAAAATATATACATAAATGATCAGCATGATGAGCTGAGTATTAGCAGTTCCGTCTGTCTGTCTGTCCGTCTGTCTGTATATATACAAACTAGTCCTTCAGTTTTTATTCTCGATCTGAAATTTGCACCTGTCCTTTCTAACAAAGAAGCTGCTCATTTGTCGGAACGCGATATCGACCATTATAGCATATAGCTGCCATACAAACTGAACAATCGGAATCAAGTGTTTGTATGGAAAACTCTTCATTGACGAGTATTTCATCAAATTTGACATGATTATTATTTAAGGCATTATTCCAATCCTCGAAGAAATTGTATAGATCGGAGACTATAGCATATAGCGCCATACAAACTGAACAATCGGAATGAAGTGCTTGTGTGGAAAACTCTTTCATTTGACAAGCATCTTCACGGAATTTGACATGGATTATTATTTGAGACAACAATGTAATCTCCGAAGAAATTATTCAGATCGGATGACTATAGCATATAGCTGCCATACAAACTGAACAATCGGAATGAAGTGCTTGTATGGAAAACTCTTTCATTGACGGGTATCTTCACGAAATTTGGCATGTATTATTATTTAAGCATTAATCTAATCTCCGTAGAAATTGTATAGATGGGATGACTATAGCATAAGCTGCATTTAACATGAATGGAAATTTTTATTTACGAGTATCTTCACGAAATTAGGGACGAGTTATTGCTTGAGCAACAAATTATTCTCACAGAAATTGGTCAGATCAGATCACTTATATATGCCATACAAATGAACGTTCGGAATCAAGTTCTTGTAAGGCCTTTGTATTTGTGAAGGGTATTATAGCTTCGACGCACCGAAGTTAACGTTTTTCTTGTTTCTTCTATTACTTTGTTGTTTCAACCGATTCGGTTGCTTCTTCCTCAGTTTCAGAAGATAGATGTAAATTGGAACTGTTTTGAATTGTTTTGATTCAAATCATATAGGTAATAAATTTCGGCTGTTCTTCTATAATGTTTTCTTCAAACAGCACATCTCGTTGAGAGAATGTAACTAATTTCGAGCTATTTTAATAATAAGTAATCTGATCATATGCTTTTTTTATTATTGCTGTTCTGTTCTCATACTTAAATCATCCATATTCTTCTGAATTCCTCACTCATTCTAATTTTATTTTATTAATACATCGCTTTATACTATTTACAAATCTAACTATAATCTAATTAATGTATTTTTGTTAAGTAGGGAAGCATCGAAAGCCGAAGTGCGGAACTTTAATCCGCTAAACCTAACCTACTCCCAACTCAAGACTCTCCACGAACCACCTGATTAAGTATTACTTCGTGGGAGATAAGACATTAAGTCTCCTCTATAGTACGGACTGACGAACGCCTAATCTGTTCCATATGTCTATGTTTTGTCAAAATTGAGCTGCCGCTTCGCTGACAGCTTTCCAATCTCACTGGACGACACATAAGTGTCGTCAAGTTTCCACCATAAAACTACCACCGAGTGAAGTTTTAAGTTTTCCCTTTACTCGAAAAGCGAGGCAATAAAGAATACATGCTCAGAGTCTTCTATGCACTCTGTACACATCGGACAGTTCGGACTAACATCATGATGGAATCTGTACAGGTAGCTTCTAAAGCACCCATGTCCGCTTAATATTTGGAAGGTGGAAATCAGTCCCAT